CCCGCCGCCGCCGCGGGTATCCCTCCGCCCGCGGAGAGGTTCCGGCGCGGCGAGGCGCCGGGAAGCAGCTAGCCGTTGCCCAGCTGAGCGCTCAGAGGCCGCCTCGGGGGCGCGCCCGCCGCCCCGCGCCCTTCCCAGGGGCGCGCCGAGCTGGTGGGCGCGGACTCTTTGCCCTCTCAGGGCGGAAGGAGCGCGCCCGGACGGAGTCGGAATGTGTGACCGAAGCAGAGAGGGGGGAGCGGCCGCACGGCTCAGCGGCCCAGGCCTGCCCGGCTGCGCCGCGTGTCGCTCCCGCACCGCCCGCCGCGGCGGCCTGGGCCCGCAGGCCTGACTCCGGGGGCCGGGGTTGGTTGGCGCTGTGCGGCCGCGGGCTTCCCCGGCGCCTTCTGTCCTCCCGCCCACCTCAGCTCTCTCGGGCTGTTCTGCTGTTTTAGTAGTTGAGTGAGTGCCGTGAGTGGGGAGAGGAAACGAGCGGGGACCCACCCGGCGGGCGCTGACCTGCGGTCGCGGCTCGCAGAGGGTCCGCGGCTCCGAGCGGGTCGGCGGGAGGGCTTCCAGCCTGCGAGGAGCCGCGCCTGCCCGCCGAGGCTGCTCCGCATTGCGCCGGGCGGAGGACGAGGGCACCCGCTGCGCCTTCTCCAAGTCCGAGGGCGTCTGCTGCGTGCCAGCCCGCCTGGCATTGGGGGCCGTGCGTGACAGATCGCCCGCGCGCCTCTCCGCGAGCGAAGTGAGGACTTGGACTGGGAGTGTCTAGCATGCAGATGTGCGGGGCCGCGCTGGAGAGCACCGTGAGGTGTTCAAACGCTTGAAAACAGAGGTGGTGCTCTAAGAAATCTGTCAGAAACCAGTGCAGAGTGGGTAAAACCAGAAATGAGCCTCTGGCCAGTGCAAGCCTTTGCTGAAATAACAGCCTAACTTAACCGGAAAACCCCGGGAAGGTAGTGTCTGGCTGGCCCCTGTCTAAAGGAGGAGACACCATGCTGGGTGAGAAACTGGCTGGCAACGGAGATCCCTGCATGTTTCCATCAATGCCATTAAATATTTGAATCGCACAACTAAGTATTTTACTTTGTTCCTACAAGGACAGAGGGCCTGGGCATAAGAATAGCCATTTTCCTTGGCATTTTTCATTGTAAACGAAAGCATTGTTATCTTGGGTTTCATACTTGAGCTTCTGGTGAGCATGACTCAGCTCTTTGGCTTTGGTACCACAGAAGTCAGATCCTGAATGTAGGAATGCACCAAGATAAATGCCATTCCCAGACAGATAAATGCTGTCTTAGCCAGCTTTCTCATACCCCAACTCTACCATGCCCCCCTGGCTCTCTTCTACAGGAAGGGATCTACAGATGGATCACGTGCCAAAACATTGTGAAGATTATGGGACATTTGCGATTTAGTTTCTGATTTACTCGTAAAACCTTTAAAGTGGAAAGGTTCTACTAGAGCCCAAGGAAGAGGAGGGCAGGGCTGAGAGGACCACATTTCTCCGTGGGGGAAACAAGCCTGAGATGCAAGTGTCTGGCATTTTTGAAAGGAAAGCAGGTTCCAGTTTTACCCCTGAGAAGAAGGAACATACCTGAAGCTGGCCTGATTGTGAACAGTAACAATTGGTCTTAAAATGATTACCCAGCAGTTAGCTAGCAAAGACTCTAGAAAGAGAAAAGTTCTGGAAGAAAGGGAAAAATGCCTTTCTTTAAGATGTAATAGGAAAAGCTATTGGGTGAGGGAGAAGACAGCTTCAAGAATGGATCACTGGGGCCGGGGAGATAGCTCAGTAGAATAAGCGCTTGCTTGGCAAGCACAAGGGCCTGAGTTCAATCCCCGGTTCCACCAAAAACAAAAAAACAAAAACAAACAAAAAAAGAGAATGGATCACTGGACAGTGTCTATGCAGAACCACAAGATTTGAGATTGTTAAGTAGAAGATGCTGATTGGTTTGACTTTTAGAGATTTTTTTCTGTTTTCATATTTTAAATTTGGAACAGATGGTGCTTTTTCATAGCTTCCAAGTCAATAAGGATATATTTTATTGTATTGATGTTTCAGCCATTTCAGTGTGGAAAGAAACAGGAGTTGAGAAGGTATATATCAGTTATTTGGGAAAACCATGATGGCCTATCATTTTATACATAAAAGTAAATAATTGGTTTTAATAGGTGAATTCATCATTTTGCTTGATGCAGTTCGTATATAAAAATCAATTGTATTTCTATATATACTAGCACTAACCGATTAGAAATAATTTTATTAATGTGATACTACAGTATATACAAACATTAAAAAGTACCTAATATCTAACAAATTACCACAAATTCTGCACAAAATAGACTTTTTTTTTTTTTTTTTCGGAACTCAGGCTCTTGCGCTTGTCAGGGAAGCGCTTATTTTGCTGGGCTATCTCCCTAGCCCCCAAAATAGACTTTCACAGGTAACAAACTGCTTTTTCACAGGGCTGTAGTCTGCAGTCCAGGTGACAGAGCTGTCTGCCCTCTTAATGCTTGGTTCATAGCTGCTCTGCCTTTTTCGGTTTTTGTCATTTCACTCTACCCTGTGTTAGTCTTTGTGTTGCCTTTTCTCTGTCTTACATTTTCCTCTATCTACCTCACATGAGAACAGTGTGATGGGGCCTGCAAGATAGCTCAGCGGACTAAGCGCCTGTTTTGGCAAGCGCAGGGACCAGGGTTTGATCCCTGGCATAGCAGGAGCAGGGCATGCCTTACTCCCAGGGGCGCTGAACCAGTGACTGCAGGCATGGTGGCACTCACCTGTAATCCCAGCACTGGGAAGGCTGAAAATGGGAAGATCAGTACGAGTCGAGCTGTGTAGTGAGATGTGTAGTGCTTGATGCAGTGTGTATATAAAAATACATATATGAAAAAAAATAAAAAACCAAACAGTATGATGGCATTTAAGGTCTACCTGGATAATTTAGAATCATTTCTTCATACCAAAATCCTTAACCACATATGCAAAGACAGTATTTAGAGGCTCAAGGGATTGAGACCTGATATCTTTGGGACTATGACCTAGTATAGTACACCATACTTTGGAATGAATTCTTATGAAAGATATGTAAGAACTCTGTTGCTAATTATATCACTGAAAAAGTTAGGGGAGATGCAAATAAATGGTTATACTATTCTTACAGATTGGAAAGGTCATTATTATAACTGTGTTAGTTTTATGCATGTCAACCTAAACATTTAGTCTGATCTCACCCAGTAGATTGTATATGTGTATAAATTGACTAGCTGACTAAGATTAATGTGCAAATTTAGAATGCCAAGAACAACCAAGACAATCTAGAAGGACAAAATTAGAAGATTTATCTACCTGATACTACAATTTAAAAATATTATAAAATTGAATTAGTGCAATAGTGGCATAGAGATAGAAAGAGATCAATAAAACCAAATAGAGTCTCCAACCACATGTTTATAGGAATATTTTATTTAAACAAAGGTGACACTGTAGTAATGTAGAGAAAATTGGACATTTCAGTAAGTGGTTCTGTGGCACCTGAATGTGTGTGGGGTTCTTATTACCTACTCATACAAAAAACAAAATCAATTCTAAATAGGTAGATGTAAATGTAAAAATAAAGCAGTGACTTTATTCTTTGGGTAATCAAACATTTCTTTTTAAAAATGCAATATTTGGCTGGGGAGATAACAGTCTAAGCATCTGCCTGGCAAGTGCAAGGACCTAGGTTTGATGCCTAGTGCCACATCAAACCTGATACCACATGCTGAGCAGCCCCAAAACCATGGGCATGTTGGTGCCTGCCTGTAATCCCAGCACTGGGAAGGCTGAGACAGGAGGATCACTGTGAGTCCAAGCTGCATAGCAAGACCCTGTGCCAGATAAATAATTTTTAAAAATCAGTATTCAAAACAAAACAGCATTCTACATACAGAAAATAGTATGAGAAAGGCAAAGAACCTTGAATGAAGCAGTTAGGCAAGCTGGATATGTAATTAAAACCAGGGCTGGAAAGAGAATTTGGTAGTGGTTGAGTGATTTTAGGTAACTATGACAAAATGCTTTAGATTAATTTACAGACAGTGGAATTTATTTCTTACTGTTCTAGCAACTGACAAGATGAAGGAAGTCACCAAAAGGTTCTGAATCTGATAACAGTTCTCTCCATAAATGGGGACTTGGTGTTACTGTCATGTTCAACTGAAGTATGACTTTCCCAGCAGACAACCCATTTTTCAACAGCCACTTTATTCTCAGGAAAATATCAAACTCAGCACAGGTGCTATTGCCCTTGGCAAATGTGGGGTAGGATGTAAACAAGAGCTAAGGCAGAGCACAGAATCTTCCCAGAACCGGACACTAAGGACTCTGACCATTGATAGACCAGATACTCAGAACTTTGCTTACTCAGACCTTCTCACCTAAAGTCTCTTAGCAGATCCCCTCTTGGTCACTTCCTATAAAAGTGGCCCCACTTTCCCATGCTCCCCATGAATGGTTTATTTGCCCTCCATCTGCCTGCACCCAGGTATATTAAATCTTATGCCTTATCACCTTCATGAAAACCCATCGAGTGGTCTCTGCCTCCCATCCTTCCTTACAGCTACATCTTTTATGAATTACAAGGGGCAGGACAGCTCCCTTCACCTCTTTGCAGTGGGCACTAATCCTACCTGTGAAAGTAGTACCTCAGGACTTGAGACCCTACCTCTTAACACTATCACAGGGGTATTAGTTTCTACTATTTGAAATCATAGGAAAACCTAAGAGATCATGCAGAGAGAATATGTAATCTGAAAAGCAGCATTGAAAGGCCAAAGCAGGATAAGAAATCCATATGAGCTGGCTGTGGAAATAGCTCAGTGATAGACCACTTACCTGACATACTTGAGACCATGAGTTAAGCCTTAGCACTGGAAAAATAAAAGAACAAGCATAATAAATAAATAAATAAATAAAATAAAATAAAATAAAGAATAGGGAAATAGAACCAGGAGAGTGATGTACTATAACCCTAAGAAGAGAGAAGTATAAGAAACAGGCCCACCAGGACAAGAGAGCAGCACAGTAAAGTGAGACTCAAATGCTCACCCAAGAAGGAGGTCATGAGTGCTCCTTGTGAGAGCAGCTTCACTGAGATTGATATGTTTGAAGCTTTAACTCCAGTATACTGAGGCATGGAGAAGTAGGGAAATAGGAACAAAGAAGTAATATTCTATTTCAGAAAAATATTCATATGGGATAATACAACGGAGTGGGGACCAAAACAGTAACTACCTTTACTGTCTTCAAGTAAATGAACTATAGAATACAACCATTGTGTTCATGTGTGTAACATTTTAAAAGTTAAGGCAGTGAGATAGCTTAGCAGACTAAGTGCCTGCTTTGGCAAGCTCAGGGACCTGGTCCCACATGCCACACATGCCTCCCCTCCCCTGCATGCTGAGCCGGTGACTGAATCTGCATGGTGGTGCATGCCTGTAACCCCAGAGCTGGGGAAGCTCAAAACAGGAGGATCACTACTAGTCCAAGCTGTGTAGTGAGACCTTGTACCAAATACATAAATGGAAATAAATAAATAAAAAGTTAAAGCACCAAATACTGTTATTTTCCTTTGGATGAATGTTTGAAGCTGCAATCTTATGCTAAAGAAAAGAACAAAAAGGTTATCGAAAGTATGAAAATTATCCATTCATATAATTCCAGCACTCTCAAAGGCTGAGGCAGGAAGATCGAAAGTTGGAGCCCAAGCTGGGCAACTTGAAAAGACCCCATATCTAACTAAGAAACAAAAAGTGCTGGAGGTGTATCTCAGTGCAAAGGCCCTGAGTTTGATCCCCAGAACTGGAGGTGGGGGGGACTAGGTGCTTATTAAATGTTTGCTGAATTGAACATCATTGAATTCTAAATTAAGCTTTTAAGCATTTTGTCTAATAAAATTAATGTTTTTAATGCTGTTATTGGTTTTAGTCTTTACACTTACACATATACATATAATGAAATATACATTAACTTCAAAAAGGATGAAACATACCTATGACAATATAGAATAATCTTGAGGATATTTTAAGTGAAATGTGCAAATAGTAACATAGCATCACTGTTTATATTCATATATCTCTGTGAACATACATCCTTTCTATACAGACATACACTCAGACTACACCTTGTCTTCTGTCCTTTGTTCCTTACTGCTGGTGACTGCTCCCACAGACCCCGCTGCTGCACCTCTCATCAAAGGCAGCACTCTTGGATGAAGTACCCAAAACAAAAAGTATAAAGCTGATGGAAGTTATTCATGGAGCTACTAGAAATTACTACTTTGGAGCCATGAATTGCATTTTGAAAACTAAGCTTTTTAATTGAAAGATATTTGAAATCTCTCTGAAGCACCCAGGATTGTTTAGATTGAGATATAATAGTATTAAGTGGTATAGGAAAATGTGAGATTAAATTGTTGAGAAAAATTCTTACTTTTGCTTCCCATAATTAATTTTGTGGGGCTGGGGAGATAGCTCAGTAGAATAAGCACTTGCTTGGCAAGTACAAGCTCCTGAGTTCAATCCCTGATACAAAAAAAAAATAAAAAAAATAAAAAAAATTGTATACTCTTTAAATTAGGAATTCTAGAAGGAGATGGTTATAAATAGAATTAATATGTGCTGATATGAAGATCAGAGCTTGGTACTATTCACAAATACTATTGGGTTAGTTAACTTGCCACTGAAGTTGCAATAAGTAGAAACTTTTTGAAATAATTTGAAGAA